TAATAGTTAGAAAGAGCAAAAAATATATAAAACGTCATTTTAAATGGCATAACTACTAAGTTTTTACCTAATACAAGTACTTTCACTGAGACATTTTTTGAACCAGCTGGATTCTCTACTGTTAAGGAATACATTCCACCGTCTTCATGGGCAGCATTACGAATTTCAAGCTTGCTACCAACTGGAGTAACATCAATTTGGGCCTTGGTTGGAGCCTCTCTGTCTCCTTTTTTCCAGGTTACTTTTGGGAATGGCACTCCTTTGATGACAGCACTAAGCCTTAGAGTATCACCGACTTTAATGTGTTGTTCCCTTGCCATGTTTGCATCAAGAATCAAGTCAGGGGGTTCTGGAATAAAGACAACAGTATATTCAAATTTTACCCCATAATGCACATTACAGCTAAGCATATATACAATCAGACATCTCTTTCCCTTGTAATTGCAGGTGGAAACATTCTACTCACCAAGCCTATCTTTTACTAGGACTGGTTCTGGAACATTAGCCGGATCTGATTCACCAGCTTCATTGACTGCAAACACTCGGAACTTATAGGTTTGACCATCTCGAAGACCAGTGACTTTATATTTAGTTTCAGGACATGACTCGGGAGTGTGATTGGCTCTTCTCCAATCTTCATCTCCAACTTTCTGGTACTCAACAATATAACCCAGTATCTTGCTCCCACCATCATGACGTGGTGGCTGCCAAGTTAGATCAACTGAATTACATGTTGTATCTATTGCTTCAGGATTAACAGGTGGACTTGGCTTAGCTATCCAATAAAATAAAAAAAGACAAAAAATAGTTAGAATATGGCTGAAACAAAGTTGGATAGTATGAAAACTGAGTGACTGCTTCAATACTATACCAATTGGATCTCTTGCAAAGACTGGTTTGGATGGTGGGCTTGGATCTCCAATTCCAATTTCATTTTCTGCAGAAACCCGGAATTCATACTGACATCCTTCTAGAAGATCAGGAACCCTAAATTTAGTGTATGGGTGGATAGGTTCTTTGGTAACTCTAGCCCACCGTTTAGACATAGTTTCCCTCTTCTCCAGGATGTAGTTTGTGATGGGTTTTCCTCCATCATGTGGCTTGTTCCAAGTTACTAATGCAGAGTCCTTGGTGACTTCTGTAACAACCGGCTGATCAGGTGCATCTGGAACCCCTACAGCAAATATAAGCAAAATAAATTAGAAGTTTAGCTCTTTGAATTAACTACAATAAGCACTGAATCACAAAAAAGAACTATAATACATACTGAAGCGATCTTTGGCTTTCATTGTGTCAGACACCAGAGGATCACTTATTCCATACAGATTCTCAGCTTGGATCCGGAAAATATAATCTTTTCCTTCGAGCAGTTTAGGAACTTTGCATGTTGTTTTAGCACAGGCAGATGTCACAGGCATCCAAATATCTTTACCCACCTCCTTCTTCTCAACAACATAGTTGGTAATTTCACTTCCCCCATCATCTAAAGGTGGTTTCCAAGAGATAACCATGTACTCTTTGGTCACCTCATCAAAATGGACTGGTCCTACTGGTGGCCCAGGACGATCTGCAGAAAACAAAATCGTAGCACAAAATGTTATTCCTAGCTCTATTTTTATTTATTTATTTATTTTTGGTACTGGGGATTGAACTCGGGACCTTGTGCTTACAAGGCAGGTGGTGGCACCACTGAGCTAAATGCCTGGTTCCCTAGCTCTATTTTTAAAAGAACATCGTCTATTATTCTTGCTAATTATTACTTACCAACAACAGTAACTTGACAGAGCCCTTTCCTGGATCCTGTACTGTTCTCCACAACCACACAGTATTTGCCAGAATCAGAACGTTTCGCCTTGATCTTCTCCAGAGCAAGAGTTGTCGGAGTGGTCTTTATATGAGTACGATCGTCCTCTAGTACATCAACTTCATCTTTGAACCAATTAACCTTGGGCTTTGGTTTGCCTGAGTAGTGGCCAGTGAGGGCAAAAGCTTCACCAACTCGAACTGTGAGTTTATCTCTGAAGTCCAGGTCAAGAGTCGGGGGAGCTAAAGTTTATAATAATAAAAACAAATCATTTTTCCTGATGTCTCATGAGAATTTTATAAATGTACATGTTTTCAAAGTATAAACTGTAGCAGACACGTACCCAGCTCATCCTTGCAAGTGATTGGCTTGGTGCAAAATGATGGTTTCCCTTGTCCAACAATATTGACAGCACTGACACGGTACTCATAGGTATCACCTTCTTTTAAGCCTTTAACAGTGTATTTTCTGCTAAGCAAGTTGTCATTTGTAACTTTGTGGAACTTCTCAGTTCCAATGAGCCGGCTTTCTAGGACATAGTTAATAATTTCTGATCCGCCGTCATATTTAGGAGGTTTCCAAGTCAAAGATACAGAATCTTTAGTAACTTCTTTGACTTGAAGGTCTTCAGGACGCTCTGGTACAGCTGTGATGATAATTACAGTGAAATTACATATTGAGAAAGTGTTAGAATGTAGTAATTAGTCCTTTCTGAGGATTTCATTTAAATATTAAACTATAGACTTCAGTAAATAACAAAAGTGATCTCATCATAGTCCTATTAGAGCAAGGAAGGTTCCAATATAACATAATTTCCTCAATTGATAGGTGAGGAAATAGAGATTCACTGAGATTAAATAATTTTAAAAAGGTATCCACAGTTTGTGGTTTAGAGTTAAGAAAATGATTCAGTTTCTTCTTTGCCATCAAGTAGGAAAACATTTTAAATGTTTAAATACATGGAACAATGCAATGAATCATACAGTGTATATTCCTATGACCTTTTTCATAATCACTATGAAAACACATCCAATCACATACTGAATAGTTCCCCAATAAGCTCTTGTCAAATAAGTGAAACCTATAGCATTTTTATATAATGCCCCCATAGTCCTTTATCAAATGAGTAAAGAGGTAATTAAGCATAAACTCTAAATTGTACTTACTTATTGGATCTCTGATGACAAGTGCATTTGGTGTCTCAACAAATGGGCCCATGCCTATACTATTTTCAGCTGCGATTCGGAAAAAGTAGGATTTCCCTTCAGTAAGACCCTGGACGACAGCACTTTGTCGGGTGACTGTGCATGTCACTGGGGTCCATGCTTTGCGGTCAGCTTCTCGCTTCTCAATGACATAGTTGGTGATTGGAGAGCCCCCATCATCTTCTGGAGAAAACCAGGTCAGTTTGCAGGAGTCATTGGTCAGGTTGTCAGACAGGAATGGTACTCCAACAGGGCCTGGCACATCTAGGAACAAGAGAAACAATTTCAAGCCATTTGTCTTCCGTGAACCCCATGAGCCTCAACGTGTGGTACCCTCTGTTTTTAAGGAGTACACATGTTGACCATAAAGAAAATAAGCTTTTGTGTCTATTAAGTGAATTGCTGTCCCATTTATATTTTATCACACTTTTAAATCAAGTAGGTTTACAGCACTTACTGTCTGCCATGGTTTTAGTAGGTACTACAGAAATAAAAATATATTTTTTCCTATTATCTATCTTTTATTTTGCTCTTTATATTTTGGGTATCTCATATGAGAGAAATCACGCAATATTTAAACTTGTGTTTGATTTATATCATTTAACATGATGGTCTCATGGTGTATCCATTTACCTATGAATGCCTCAAGTTTAAAAAGCAAAATTTGAGGGTGGGGGATTTAGCTCAGTGGTCCCGCCACCTGCCTCACAAGTGCAAGGTCCCGATTTTGATCCCAGGTACCCCCCAAAAGCAAATTTGTGTCAGGTGTGAGGGAGATGCGGGGAGGAGCGGGTGGGACAGTCAAAGAGTGATGTGATTGCTTTTCGTTTTCCTTCCTCTTCCAGGGGAAGGAGGGAGAGATTTTCTCCCCCCTGGGTGAAGGTTAATCAGGGAGCAGTACAGCAGGCCCACATCTCAGGATTGTGAGGGTTTGAATGTTAATACGGAAGTGCACCGGTTTTCCAGTTAAAGTCATAGGCGTCTAGGGGAAAAAGGATTCAAGAGCTTAAAGTTAACCTAAAATCTTGTAGGACTATTGCTGAATGAAATGTTTTTCCTTACACTGCTTTTATATTGGTTATATTATCAGAGGAGTGGCTATTCTCACATGGAAACCATGGCCATTTGGGCGAGGCTGTGCCTAGTAGAGTCAGGGCTCTGAGTGGGAGGGCTTCAGCTGCTGAACAAATTCATGGATTAAAGCAACGAAGAGGCATGAAAACAAACCTTGTGAAGTTCAACTCCACATTCAGTGATTAGAAATGCAGTACTAATTACTAAATATGATGCTTCTCTTCAATTAGAGTACTGAAACCCTCAAAGGGATTCTGCATTAGTATGATAATTATCAAGTTAGCCTAGTTTCATGGTGTAAAAATGGTCGTCACTTGGGCCGGGGATTTCGGTGGTTCCACCACCTGCCTTGCAAGCTCCAAGTCCAGAGCTCGATCCCCGGTACCAAAAAAAAAAAAAAAAAAAAAGTAAAAAAGAAAATGGTCATCACTGATGAATTGTTAAACATTCATGTACATTTTTAGGGAAGTTCCTTTCATGAAAACTAAATTATAACACAACAGGTGTTTATGGTGGCATGTTACATTAAAAAGTGTATAGCAGGGGTACAACCACACAGAATATATGTAGGATAAAAAAGCAAAGAGAAAATTTAAAAATTCTAATAATGTACGATGAGACTGTCAATGAGTTTCCTTATTTTCTACAATGTTTATAATATACCTTGATTACTACAGCATAGCTTTGTTGTAGATATAATTAAAATACTTGCTTAAAGATTGTGTGGACAGGGCCAAGGATTTAGCTCAGTGGTTCTGCTGCTTGCTTTGCAAGTGCAAGGTCCTGAGTTTGATCCCCGGTACAAAAAAATAAAATAAAATAAATTGCGTGGACAAATGAAAAGTATTTACCTAATACATCAACAATAATTGTCTTCTTTCTTTCTCCCCCTGCATTTTTGGCAAGCAGAGAATAGACGCCTTGATGGCTTCTCTGGCAGTTCTTGATGACCATGGATGAGCTAATGGCTGTGGTCTCAATGGTGGCTTCCTGAGGTAAGGCTCTTTCATTCATGTTCCAGGTGACGGTGGGAGGGGGTTTCCCAGACACATAGGCAATGATCCGGATCACCCCTCCAGCATGGACCACAATTCTGTCTCTGACACTGGCATCTAGCTGAAGGTCAGGTCCAACTGGAAAACAACCGAAAATTACAAATGTAATTTCCATTTTCAATCTGAAACATGAATATTGATCAACTACTAGACGTATTGCTAGTTACCGATTCTGTCCTTCATTTCAATGATATCTGTGACTTCTCCAGGTTCTCCAATGCCAGCAATGTTGACTGCTCTCACTCTGAATTTGTAGAATGCACCTTCTTTTAAGTCAGTCACAACAAGTTTTGTTCCTCTCACCTCTTTATCTTTGCCCTAGGGAAAAATCGCACACATTTTAAAATTACTGTAGTTCTTTCTAGTTTCTTGCTTCATGGCTTTATAAAGTATAAACCAAACTATTTGTTCTTTCAGGAAAACTGTAGCAAGTTTAGGTCTTAGGGATCAGATATTATAGACAATACCGAATGGAGTTACTTTCCAGGAATTGTTTTAAAATTGTTGTCAAATGATTGAAAAATTCATAGTTTATTTATTCCGTGGCTCATAACTAAAAGAAATTATAGCATGAAAACCTTTGATTACTTTGAATTGACACATGATAATCATATATATTTGTGGGGTGCAGTGATAACTCAATACTTGCATAAAATACATAATGGTCAAATCGGGGTCATTAACATTTCCATTTCCTTAAACGTTTGTTATTTCATTATGCTGGGAACCTTTAAACTCCTCTAGTTTGTTACAAAATTAATAATCTGTTGTTATAAACTGTAGTCACACTACTGTTGTAGAACACTAGAAATTATTTCTGCTATTTTGGTATCCATTATTGGGCCTCCCTTTTTTCCCCTGACCCTAACCTGATGAAAAAAAAAAATTTTTTTTGTTTTTATTTTTTTTGAGACAGGGTCTCACTATGTAGTTGAGACTGATCTGGAACTCACTATGTAGCCCAGGCTGGTCTTGAATACACAGTGATCCTCCTGCCTCAGCCTCCCAAGTGCTGGGATTACAGGTGTGCGCCACCACACCTGGCTCTGATGAAATTTTTGAAATTAACAGATGTTTAGATTATTAGTTGTGATTCTATTATGATTCTATTTTCTGATTTCTTAATCCAAAAAAAATATAGAAGTTAATGGGATAGAGAATAACTGCTATAATTTTAGGTTATTCATCATACCTTTTCCCACTCATCTTTTCCTTCTTCCTTGTACTCAACAATGTATCCTGTCACTCTGGATCCACCATCTTTTAATGGGGGAGACCACTCTAGGTCCACGGATGATTTAGTCCAGTCTGTCACTTTGGGAAATGGAGGGCCAGGAGGAGCTGGAAAGAACAGTATACATCAGTATTCTTGACCTCTCTATGACACTTTTGGAAAGTAAGATTTTTTTTTTTTAATGGTGACTTCAAGCCTTACCAATTGGATCTCTAGCAGTCACTGGATCTGATGGCAGACTTGCTGGCCCCACACCAGCAGCATTGATCGCATATACCCGGAATTGATAGTCAGAACCTTCAATAAGACCAGTCACTTTATAAGAAACACCCAATGTCATGGCTCTGATAGGATCTCGGTTAACCCTCTTCCATCTCTTTGTCGTGGTATCTTTCATTTCTAGCCAGTATCCTGTCACGGGAGAGCCTCCATCATATTCTGGCTCTTCCCAGTTGACGGTCATGGAGTCACGAGTCACACTGCTAATGGTTGGTTTATCAGGTGCTCCAGGAACAGCTGTGGAAAAAAATTAATTTATAAGAAATTGTACAAGCCACAGATAAGCAAGCCTTTGTATATGAAAATGTTGTCCTACTCACAGAAGAGATTTCGTGCTGTTTCAGGTTCACTGTCGAGTGGCTCTCCAATGCCGAATTTATTCTGGGCCATAATTCGGAATACATATTCATGGCCTTCTAGCAATTTGGGAATTGTGTACATGCACTCTTTAGGTTCGCTGGAGACACGTACCCATGTTTTTCTGTTAGCTTCTCTTTTCTCAATTACATAGTTTGTAATCTTAGACCCACCATCATCCAGAGGCGGAAGCCAAGATATTGTCATTTGATCTGCTGAAACAGATTCGAACTTTATGGGTCCAACTGGAGGGCCAGGACGACCTAAAATGGTTCAGACAAAGAACATTTTTTTAGTTCTATGATTTTAAAATGTGGACAGCAATTATGTAGTTTAAATCAAACTGTGAAATCTTTACCAAGGACATTCAATCTCATCTCCTTTGATGCTGTTCCCAGGTTATTTGCAGCTGTAATGGTGTATAAGCCTGTGTCACTTCTACGAGACTGAGGAATAACTAAAGTGCAAGTATCATCCACCACCAGTTTGTTGACGTGGGTGTCGTAGACAACAGGTTCTTTGTTATCAGGCTTCTTTGGAGGAGCTTTAAACCAGGTAAGTGTTGGGAATGGCACACCTTTAATTTTGGCCACAATGTTAACATCTGTTCCTTCTTCAACCTCCATGAATTCTTTTAGTTCAATTGATGGTGGGCCTAGATTATAAAAATATAAAATATAAAAACTTGCAAAAAGCACTGACACAAAGTAGAATTCACAGTGACTATTTTAAAGCTTTTCCAATCTACTAATTACACAGTCAGACTTGGTAGCCCAGTCCAATATAAAGAATGAGACTGTCTTTAACACTGGTGCACTAGCCTGGGAAACAGGTATCATGCATGGATGTTTATTTGATCTACATGTTGTTATTCATCAGCTAATGCCTCTCTTTTCTTGGACATCATTATGTATATGCATAATCTGACAAAATGGCAGAGATGAAGGAAGATCACTAGCTAAGGCTGGGGACCTTTTCCTTAATATTTATGCAAAGTTATGCAGAAATTTACACTGTTCACTCTGAGGTGAATTCCACTGAAAAGAAATATACCTTCTAGTAGAGGCAAAACAATTTTCCACAGATTTACTATAAAGACTGTGTAAAGAGGGTAGTAACTAGAGCCTTTTCAGTTTGAAAAATGAACAAATACACAGAAGTAGAGATGGAAATAATAATTAGAGGAAGGTTATCATATTTGTATGTATATTCAGTCTATCAAAATGAACGTATCTTTTTCTCAAATAGAGAAAAAGAAACTTGATTTTGAAGATGAATTGGACATAGCAGTTGCTAAGCAAATGACTAGCTATTTTCTGACACTTTTATGTAGGATAAGAACTGCTCTAACTTCTGATAAATAAAATAGCTTGCCATGGAGAAAAATTATAATTTCTTTAGTGAGGAAAAGGTGACATGTAAAGAAATATGATAGTCCTGCCAAAGCTAGGGAATAATTCAGTACTGTGTTCATGGGAGTTTCCTACTGCTTTTTAAGTTTGGACCATAATTAACTATCTAAAGAGACAGTGAAAAAGAGGACATTTTCTGTCAGCATATGGGCACTTACATGTCTGGTCTTTGACAGTCACAGGGCCGACAGTGGCTGAAGGTTTGCTGACACCTGCAGCATTGACAGCTTTGACTCTGAATTCATATTCTCCCCCCTCGATAAGGTCTTCAACAGTAAATTCCAGTTCTTCCACATCACGCTTATTACACTGTCTCCATGCCTCTTTCTTTGTCCCGGTAGGGTCCCATGCAAGGCACTCAACAATGTAATGGGTGACAGGGGAGCCCCCATCATTCTTAGGAGGTTTCCATGACAGGTGTACTGTATTCTTTGTTATAAGGCCAATCTTGAGTTTAATAGGAGGATCAGGAGGATCTGTAACAACAGTTCAAGGAAGCGTTATGCATTATTTATAACAGTAATATCTATTTTGGAAAGATATTTTAAACTTAGATTTAAAATCTTACATATTGGATCTGCAGCAGTGGTCCTCTGAATGGTTTCCACGGGTGGGCCAATTCCAAAACGATTTTCTGCTCTCACACGGAAGAAATATTGCTGTCCAGAGATGAGATCAGGCACTACAAAGGAGGTGCTACCACAGTTTGGAGTGACTTTTGTCCAGGCTTTTCCGTCAATGGTCTTTTTCTCGATAACATAGCCTTTGATCCTATCTCCTCCATCATCGTCTGGTATCTTCCATGAAAGTCTGCAACTACCCCTGGTGACATCGCTGACTTTCAGATCTTTGGGTGGCCCAGGTACATCTGTTGGATGAGAATCATGATGTGAACAATGTTTCTTGGAAATTTAAAAATAATTTGTTCTTACTCTGCAATAGCTTTGAAAGTCTTTCTTACCCATGACTTTAACTCTACAATTTGCAGTCTTCTGTCCTGCTTTATTCTTGGCGGTGATGCTGTATTTGCCTGAGTGAGACCGTTTACACTCTGGAATAATGATTACTGATGAGTTCTCAGCAGTCTCCAGCTGTACAAAGAAAATAACAGTGACCCACTGAATGAGATCAAACAGTACTGAAGAACCATATTCTAAGTTATTTCAATTATCTTTTTTTTTCTCTTTTTACCTGTGCATCTTCGGGTATGTCGTGAACTCCATCCTATTAGAAAAGAAAGATAGTTATAGTATAAATACTTCTAGTGAGTCAATGGGAAACATGGGAGACTTGTAATTTTCTTACCTTCACTGCCTTCTTTGCCTTTCCATCAAATTCCCAAGATGATTTTGGTGTTGGGCGTCCCTTGACGACAGCGGGGATTCTAATCTGGGAGCCAGCCTGACAAACCAGACAGTCTTGTGCCCCAATGTCAATGAAAACCTCCGGTACCTCTGGAATACCATGAGCAACATAAAAGGATTTAGCTGACATTTCTCAACACAAGTAACTGACATGCTCGGTTGAGTTATCAATTTCATAATGAGATCACAAGAATAAGGATTTGTACCTTGAACATCAGTGGCAGGAATCTCTCCAGTTGTGTCACTTGGTTCAGATTCACCAGCTTCATTGACGGCTTTCACTCTGAACTTGTATTTCCTGAGTTCTTTCAGATTAGGCACCACGCATTCACAGGTAGATATAAGTTTGTCTGGTTCATTGACTGGTTTCCAGTCAGTAGAACCTTCTTCCTGCATTTCTACAATGTATCCTTTGATTGGACTGCCACCATCTTTGGCCGGAGGTTTCCAGGCTAGTGAGATGCTTGACTTTGTTTTATCTTTGACCTCTGGGCGAGAAGGTGGCCCAGGTGGGTCTAATTAAAAAAAGCAAATTAAAACATCAGATTTCAAAAGTAATAGAAAACTAGTTTTATGTATGGTAAAAGCCTTTGCTATACACAAATATTTGTTATTTTTAATCTATTAAAATAGGACTTCTAAACAGAATAAGACATACAGGAAATAGTGTAACTTTAGCATTAATGAAGAAATTGAGAAAGTAACTAACTGGGAAAGACTGCTCATTATCTTTAGATTAGATCTACATTCTCTTTACACAATTGGTGAAAACTTATTTTACTTCTGAGATTCCTCTGAAGAGATTTTACAGTATTTTTACTAAAAACTGATTTTATCACAATATGAAAATTTAAGGTGATTTCATCATTGGCTTGTAAATCTTTCTTCAAATTAATTTTAGTGTTCTTTGGAGTAGGATCAGTACGCAATAATAATGTGACAATGCTTTACTTTTCTGAGACTGTCTTACAGTTGCAGAAATTTCTTTACTCCATTTGTCTTTGTAGTCATAACTCTTTTCCCTCTGTGCAAAGTGTAGATCCTGAACATAGCCTGTGTTCTATACTAGTTTGCTGAATGAGTGCATGACTACACTACTGTATTCTTCATACAGCACTTGAGAATATTTTAAACCTTTTCAGCACATAGTTGAATTGTTTTAGACAGGTAATCTAATCAGAGAAATTATATAGCAAATAGAATTACCTATTAATGTCACATTAGTTTCATTTTTGAACTGATGTGCTCATGGATCTTTGAGAAGAATTTTCCTTTTTTTGTGTGGCATTAGTCTTTGCCTGGGAATTTGATATCTTTGCTCAGTAAATACCATTAAAAAGCTAATAACATTTTCCTTTTTGTTGAATTCCTGTAGGAGGGTCTGTCTAATTGGGAAAAATGATATCCATAGGATCAAGTGAGATAGAGGTTTATTAAGCCATGATAGCACAGGGGAGCTTATTGTCCAGGTCTTTATTATTGTGATTTCTCATAAAATACTAGCTTTAATCCAAGAGTTTAGAAATGCTATGCTTTTATATATATGTATATATCATATCCACACATCTACTCTGATAGTCTATGTGAATATCAATGTTTTTAGTTTAATAATGAAACTGAGGCTAGGTTATGAGTATCACAAGCTTGAGTCCTGCCTGGACAACTTAGTGAGACTTTATCTTTAAATAAAAGAGCTGGGGATATAGCGTATTAATGGTAGAGAGTGCCTGGATTCATTCCCAAGGGTTCAGCTCCCAGGAAAAAATCTACTCTGATAGTCTATGTGAATATCAATGTTTTTAGTTTAATAATGAAACTGAGGCTAGGTTATGAGTATCACAAGCTTGAGTCCTGCCTGGACAACTTAGTGAGACTTTATCTTTAAATAAAAGAGCTGGGGATATAGCGTATTAATGGTAGAGAGTGCCTGGATTCATTCCCAAGGGTTCAGCTCCCAGGAAAAAAGTATAAAATAAAAGGAAAGAAATGGAAAAAATTTTTGATATAGAAAACTATAAGAAATTTAAGAGCAGAATTATCCACTTAGTAACTATGTCCTTTAGAAATGAGTCCCAGAAATGAAAGTGTACTTACATATGGGGTCTCCTGCAAGAGCTGGATCTGATGGTTCACTTGGAGGGCCAATTCCTGCAGCATTTATTGCCATGGCTCTGAATTGGTATTTAACACCTTCAATCAAGCGGGGAACATTAAATTCCACACCCTTCAATCCCACTTTGGTTATTGGTGCTCGGCTGACACGTGACCAGTAGGTACCGCCCTCTTCTCGCTTCTCCAGCCAGTAGCCAGTAATTGGAGAGCCACCATTGTCCAAAGGAGGAGCCCAGCTCACTAGCATTGAGCCTTTGGTGCGTTCCAAGACTTGTGGCTTTCCAGGAGGTCCAGGAAGGCGATAAGGATCTTGAATGACAACTTTGTCTGATTTGCACTCATCACTGATTCCATATTTATTCACTGCTCTAACTCGGAACTCATATTGGCCATTGGGGATAAGCTTCCAAATCTAGAAAATTAGATGAATAGAAATTTTTTAAAAAGAATTTCATAGGTTTTTTTTTTCCACTTATTTTAAAAGAAGTTGTTTGGGGGAAGATCACTATAAAGAGAAACAAATATATTGACTCAACACATAGGAATGACAGAGAAAAGGAGAGAGCCCTTTTAAATTAAGAACATGTAAATTTTCTGTACCTCATAGTAGAGCTCTCAAGAATATCTGCATATGAAATAATATTTACTAAGTAACATTATGTCCATGGTGCTAAATATTACAATAACAAAATAGCTTCCTGAATGTAGTTTTGACTTTAATCATTGAATTATACTAAAATCAGTCATGTCCTTTTAATGCATATAGGAAAATATTTAGAAGAATTTACCCCAAATCTCCTCTCTACAGCAGTGTTGGTGACTTCCTCCCATTCGGATTTTTTCCTACTTGCATCGCGTTTGTCAATGATATAGTGAGTGATTTCACTGCCACCATTGTCTAGAGGGGCATCCCATGTCAAGTAGCAGGATTCAGCTTTAATGTCAGTAACAGCAAGATTTCTTGGTGGGGATGGACGGTCTGGAAAGATACCGACAGAGACTGAGAAGGCAGTTTTAGACAGTGGATTTCTTTTTGACATAAGAAGCCCGGAACATACCATATACTTCAACGTGAACATTGCGGAACACTGTGCCAAGACGATTAGAAGCAGTGACCGTGTAAGTGCCTTTGTCCTCTCGGACTGCCTTGGCAATGCTAAGCTCAGTCTTCGCTTCACTTCGGGACACCTCTTCCTTGGTTATTTTAAGTGCATCAGTGGGTTTTTCAATCACTTTTTCATCCTTTGACCACTCAATCTTAGGCATCGGAAGCCCCGTCACATCTGCAGGGATGCTAACAGGTTCTCCTGCCATCACTTTGATGGTGTCTCCTCGAACCGCCAGACGCAATTTAATAGTTGGAGGCACTGTAAAGAGAAGGAAAAGAGAAGAAACACAAAATCATATGGCTATTCTCTCAATTTACAGGCAAACAGCAGCCCTGGAAGTATGTTCAAATGATAGGATCCAGGATCCATACCTTCATCATCTTGTATGACTACGTTAAGAGGCAGAGATGGTTCACTTTCACCGATCTCATTGACGGCTTTGACCCGGAACTCATACATTTGGTGTTCATCGAGATTTTCAACCAGAAAAGATGTGGTTGGGCAGAGCCTCTTGTTAACTCTTTCAAACTCAGGTTTGTCATGACGCCGCTTTTCAATGATGTATCCTTGGATGGGGGAGCCACCATCACTGCGGGGTTCTTTCCAATCAAGGGTGATAGTGGACTTGGTCCTTTCTGTATACGTGAGCCTTTCTGGAGATGTTGGAGGACCTTCAACCAGAGGCAAGTGAAAAGTCATGAGCATGAGATTACCATTCATATAAGAAATAGTATCCCATTTCAATTTAAATTTGTGAAGGCTTTTCCTTATATATCTATCTTTATAATCTTTCCCAGAACATATCAGTTATCAGAATTTTTCTTAGCAAACATTCTATCAAGATTATTAAATAAAAATAAATCAAAGGCCATATGTTTTTTTACATTTAGTATTATATATTGTTTACTTCTGCCATAGGAAAAGCTTCTCATCCTAATGAACTAGGAAAATAGGTCTGTGAAGTTCTTCTTTGGATGACTAGCCAAGAGCAAAGTATTTCTTCTTTGATTAACAGACAACTGAATTCATTAACATAATACTTTGAGTCATGCTTCCTCAAGTGTGGGTTTAAAATATGATGGAAAGAGAATTTACATTTCTGCTATGACTGCTTTATGTCCAGAAGGGGAGAACCAAAAGATTAAATTTTGAATGGTGAACTAGACTCAATCTACACTATCTATAGTTACTGTAACTGGAAGTTATGGATTAAACTCTGATCCCATGCTTTCAGCATAACTAGAGGTACACTGGACTTTTTAAGATGAGCTGCAACAGTGGTATAGGATGTAATTTTCTCCCCCATCACCAGGGGTGATCATAAAGGAATAGCTCCTTTGGTTTCTCCAGTTCTGGGTCTTCATAAAGGTCTTGCTCTCTTAGATGGGATGGTCAGGTGCATTAAAAAGTGTACACAATTTGAATGTTTTATGTTGGTGTTTTGGAGATTTCCTCGGTTGGGATGGTCCTTTATGGTTTTAGGTTTCCCTTTCCTTCCACTGTAGGGACTTCTTAGTATCAGAGTAAGACTAAGGCATTTATCCTAAGGCAGTTGTCTGATCCTTAATCTTTTAGCAAAACAAGGACCTGTATTTAGTTTGTTAAATTTAAAAACCTACTTCAGGGCTGGTGATTTAGCTCAGTGGTTCCACCACCTGCCTCATATGTGCAAGGATCCGAGTTCAATCCCCAGTACCAAACAAACAAAACAAAACCAAAAAACCTACTTCATTGTGTTCTACTGGATAGATTTAATACTTCTAAATTACTTTTAGGTTATTTCTAAGTCTCAGTAGAGTCATGCTTTTAAGTACAGAAAAGTATGTGTGACTAATATACTTGGAGCCAAAAATTACATTGGAATTATACCAAATATGCTATCAAGTTGCTAGTAGTTGCCTGATTTACTTTTCTTACTACTCTCTAGATAGTCTTTAGATTTGAGATCATTGGGAGTTTAAAGCTACACTCATCAAATAAATGATATAACTAGAAGGAAAACAGTAGTTACTTTATAAACACAGTGAAAAACCTCTTTTACCTAGTGGATCAACTGCAAGAATCGGTCCTATTTCAACAGGAGGGCCACAACCAAACTTGTTCTTGGCAATAACACGGAACATATATTCTTGTCCCTCAAGAAGACCTGTGATGTCACATTTAGATCTCTCAGTCTCTATTGGTTGTCTCCAAGTATGCATCTTGGCATCTTTTCTTTCAATAATGAAGCCTGTGAGTTCACTTCCTCCATCATCTGCTGGATCAGACCAGTTAAGCAGACACATCTTTCTGTTTGTGACAACAGGTTTTAAGTCAAGAACTGGACCAGGGACATCTGCAATAGAGAACAAGACAAATCAATGTAATAAGATGTATCATTTGAAAAAAAATCCTATGAAAACCCATGTAGCACTCCTTACCAAAAACCTCCACCCGGGCTGCTGCAAATTTGGAACCACAGCTATTAGTGGCTGTAATCACATATCTGCCATGATCTTTTCTCAACGCATTTTTGATAATTAGTTCAGATTTGGTTCCAACATTCTCTATGACAACACGATCTTTGTCCAGCTCTCCTTCTTCTATGGTCCACACTTTTGTGGGCACAGGGCGGCCAGTCACCACTGCTGGAATTCTAAGAGTCTTTCCAGCCATTATTTGTACTCCAGCCTTGACAGAAACATCAAGTTCCACAGTTGGAGGCTCTGTTGCAAGAGGACAGTCATGCATTAACCCAAGAAAGATAAAAACAGAGTCCCATATTGGGAAAATATCCATAATTTTATTCCAATAACCAACAAGTACCTTGGGGTTCAGCCACGGTAACAGGTTCTGTTTCTCCAGGTGGGCCTTCACCTGCCAAGTTGACGGCACTCACCCGAAGTTTGTAATCTGCACCCTCTCGGATTTCTCTGACAGTATACTGACGGACCTTGATCATCTTCTCAGTGCAGCGTGACCACTCATTGGTGCCAACCAACTGCTTATCAACAAAGTAGCCAATAATTTCTCCACCGCCATTGAAAGCTGGAGGTTCCCATTCCAGTTCAATAGTTGTAGAGCTTGTGTCAGCAACTCTTGGGATAGGTGGTCCAGGTGGAGCTAGAATGAATACAGATACATAAATGAAACTCACTGATGGTTTGAAAATAAGCCAGAGATTACTCTCACATTCTTCTTCTTCTTCAGGAATTACGTACAGATTGGATCGCGTGCTGTTTGGGGATCTGAAGGTGGACTGAACTTTCCAGGTCCAGCTGCATTTTCAGCACATACTCTGAAGACATAGGTGAGTCCTTCTAATAAGCCATCTACCTTGGCTTTCAAAGAATTCAGAAGGCTTTTGTTGACACGAGACCAATGTGTACTGTTAACCTCACGTTTTTCAAGCCAGTAACCCAAGATGGGGCTTCCATTATCTTTTGGTTCATTCCATTTCACTAGCATACTGTTGCTGGTAACATCTTCCACAATGGGCTTATCAGGTGCATCAGGTGGTTCTGATTAAAAAAGATAAATTAATTCCCTAATATGACACAAACTCAATTTAGCAAACTGTGACTGTATATACCAAAGTATACGGTAAATAAGGCAAACTTTCAATGCTAAATGAACCTTACCGAATGGATCTTTAGCTGTAAATGGCTTTGAAACACATGGTGGTCCAGGCCCAAACCTATTTTCAGCTCTTACACGGAAGAGGTACTCTTTTCCTTCAATCAATTTTGTGACTGAATATTTGCAATGTCTAAGTGTTGAAGTGACAACAATCCATTCTGAGTCAGGTTTTGTCTTGTCTTTCTTTTCCAGAGTGTAGTTTATGATTTCACTGCCACCATCATCAAGGGGTGGTTCCCATTTACAGAGGACTGAGGTCTTTCTAATATCTTCAAATACAAAGTTGATTGGTGGTCCTGGTGTATCTAATATTTCAAAAGAGAGCAGTGATTAAAAATTTGTTGCTATGGAAACTGTAAATGTCAGCATGTGCTCTTGACGTAACTACTAGTTTTCCCACAGCTATTTTTGTAATGAATAACAACATTAGTTTTTTTTTTAAACATAGCCAGGATATAAAATGTGACTGAAAATTATTTGATTAAAGTGACTTCCCACTTTTTAGCTGCCCCCATATTGTTTATTTTTACATTTATTAAAAGTCTTACATAAAACTTTTTCCATTGGAAAGGATAGTTTTAACTATTTACCAAACACACAGACGGTACAAGGAGCTTTTGCAACACCATGGTCATTTTCAGCTTTGATCATATATAGGCCGTGGTCAGGTCGGAGAGAATCTCGGACACGAAGCTGAGATTCTCCTTGTTTACTGTTATTGATACTCAAACGCTCTGTCAGAGGCAGGAAAAATGGTTCTTCTTCTTGAACTTCACCCTTCTTCCTCCTAACCAGGGCCGTCGGCCGCTTCTTAATTTCCTCTGGTACAATAACGTTTTCGTCTTTTATCCATGTAATAGTTGGGTAGGGTGATCCAGAAATGGTTGCATCAAGTGCAATTTCATCTCCTCGCTTTACTTCTAAGGTTGTTCTCAGAATGACTTTTGGGGCATCTGAAACAATTAAAAACAGTAACTCCTTTCAATTCTGATTAAGATATCTCAAAACATTGTTGCCATTTGTCTGACAATGGAAAAATGGCAACTCCGTTGAACAAAACTTACCAATAGGATCTACAGCTTTGGTTGGAGGAGTGGCCCGAGAAGGTTCTCCAATACCGGCAGCATTCTCTGCTCGTACGCGGAATTGGTACTCCTTCCCCTCTTCCAGTCCTTTTGCTGTATAGGTCAGGACTGGTACCAGGTGCTCATTGCATCTTTTCCATCTTTCTTCACCCTTTGCAATCTTCTCGATGATGTAACCCATTATCTTGCTTCCTCCATCATACAGAGGTGGCTTCCATGTAATAGTCATGGCCTTAGCTGTAGGATTGTGGACCTCGACATCTACAGGTGGATCAGGGGGCTCTGAAGAACAAGAAAAAAATCTGCTAGCTCTATGAAAGCCAACTTTTTAGAATGAGACTTTGAAATTAACTCCCAGCCGTTCTGCAACCATGCTCAAACTTACGCTTTGGATCTTGAGCAATGACTGGATTTTTGAGTTCAATATATTCTCCTCCACCGATCTTGTTAACTGCTTTGACACGGAAGAAGTATTCACTGTTTGGTATGAGATCCTTCACAGTCCAGGACAGCTTGTTCTCACCAGACATGACTGGTATATATGTCCTTCTCCCAGCTTCTCTGCGTTCCAGGACATAATGAAGAATTGGGCTCCCACCATCATATTCTGGAGGCTCCCAGGTTAACTTACAAGAACTCTTGGTCACATCACTTGCTTTAATATCTTTGCATGGACCAGGTAGGCCTATTACAAATAAAATTTGTAATTGTTATTGTAATCTTGAAAAACCAACATTTTAATAATACATTCTGATTACAGGTATTTGCATTTTGGGTGGGATTATCTTTCTTGTGCTGAAGTATTCTTCATTCTGCATGCCATTTAGTGTTCTTGACCCTCAGCAACAAACATCAGTATCAGCCTCTGAGCGACTGTGCAAAGCAAAAAGTGGCTAAAAGGTGCAGGGAAAGTGGGAAGGGTAGGGGAAAGGGAATAAGGGAAAAGAAAAAAATATGAGAAAATGAAAAGATGAAAATAAAGTGTTTGTAGATGGGGAGGGGAGGAGGGGGTGAAGGGAGGGCAGAGGTAAGGGGAAAAATGAGAACCAAGATCTGTCATGTGAAGGTACAAGATCCCAATAATGAATGGAACTGTACTGTATACCTAAAATGTACCAATAAGCTCAATTAAAAAAAAAAAAAGTGGCTACACAGACTGCCAAACACTACCAGGGGTGGGGTGGATGGCAGAAAATGTTCCTCCCTTGAATGAGAATTCTACCGGAAAATGTAAATTTATACAACTAGGAAGTAAATATTGGTCATTTAAACATTCTTTGAGTATGATGAATCTCTTATTTAAATTAGTTTCACAATCAAGGGTAACTTAATCTAATTAGAGTAGCAATTTCATTTCTTTAGAATTGCTTTTTCATGTGGAGATAAAGAAAGGGGTGTTTAGTTTACAGATGTCAATCCACGGAGCCATTTATACTACATTGGAAAGTTAACCAATTTCCCCAACATGTGAAGAAGGTCAGGTGTTTCATGAGAGAATGATTACCTATGACTTTGACATTGATCGAGGCAGTTGCTGAGCCAAGCTTATTTTCCAGTGTAATGGTGTAAACACCAGCATCTGCATGGACACTCTTGGGAACTTCAAGGTGTGCAGAGATGTGATCATTCTTCACTGTTAACCTGTCACTCGCTTTTACTTCTTTGCCATCTTTATGCCAGCTGACAGTTGGAACTGGGACAGCTCTGAAGGGAACAGGAATGCTTAATTTTTCTCCTTCAATAACTACAATGTCATGAGTCTCCATCTCAATTGTTGGTTTACCTGTAAGATATGATCCAAAAGAAAAAAAAACCAGCACATTAAAATGCAATACACGAAGAAAGCCTACTTTATTAACTATAAAAGACACTGTGTTCTTACAGTCTGGGTCTTTGGCAACCACATTTTCAGAGATTTCAGATGGCTCGCTGACACCAACAGCATTGACAGCTCTCACTCTTAGAACGTACTCTTTGTCAGGAACAATCCCCTCCTCAACTTTGAATTTCAAGTCTTTAACTGGGCGAGAATTAACTCGCATCCATTTCTCAGTGCCTACTGGACACATTTCAACATGGTATCCTATGATAGGACTTCCACCATTTTTCTCTGGAGGCTTCCAAGCAATGGCAATGTGCTTCCTCCCAGCATCAGTCACATGTAGGTCAAGAGGAGGTGACGGAGGACCTGAGAAAAGAGTGAAACATTTACATCTGCCGGCTCATCATCGAGTTCTATATGATATTTGTTGTATCATTAGCACCACTTACTTGTTGGATCTTCTATTGCTAGGATTTCTGTTGGTTCACTTGGGTGACCAACTCCAGCTTCATTTTCTGCCCGAACCTGAAACTGGACTTCTGTTCCTTCAATGACATCAGTTACTCTAAAGTTACAGTCAGGTCCTGAGGTCTTTCCAGCTTTCACCCAACGAGTGCCTAACTTTTCTTTCTTCTCAATGATATACCTATTTAAATAACAAGTCATTTCATTAGCATTAATAGGGCAAAACAAACACAAGGATTTGCAGCCAAGCATAAATTACTTTTTATGAAGTGATTCAAGTTCTACCTCTGTATTGGTCTTCCGCCATCATTTTTAGGTGGCTCCCACTTTAGGTCAACATGTCGTTTTGTCACATCAACCACTGTCAGGGCATAGGGTGGTCCAGGAGTGGCTGAAAGGAAAATAATCCACGATTAGAAATACCAGGGGGAAAAGTAGTAACATACTACAAATGTCACAAAGATTAAATTAGAGGGCATACTGAAGGTGTCTTTGGCCAGGACAGAATCCTCGATTTCCGTGTAGTCACTTTGTCCTATTGCATTTTCTGCAGCAACTCGGAACACATATAAAGAGCCCTCAGTCAGCGGGGTGACTGTGCACTTGGTGTCTTTGACGGTGGTGTCCACTGTTTGCCAGCCTTTTCGCCTCACATCTCTCTTTTCTACGATGTAGTTGGTGATAGGGGACCCTCCGTCTTTCTCAGGAACCGTCCATTTTAGGTCTGCTGTATTTTTTGTGATATTAATCACTTCAAGCCAACGAGGCGGTGATGGAGGATCTGGATAAAGAAGAAGGAAAAGTAATGGAAGGGTGAAGGGGGTGAAGGGAGGCCAGGGGAATGGGGAAAAAAATGAGAACCAAGATCTGTCATGTGAAGATACAAGATCCCAATGATGAATGTGACTGTGTACTGTATACCTAAAACGTACCAAAATAAAGAAAAATAAAAAGAAGGAAAAGTAAATTTGATTTTTTTATTGCTCAACATTCAGTGTTTACTGCATGTTCTGGTCGTCCCTAGAAAATAATGCAGCAAGAAGGGAATAACAGTAAAGAATTTTTCATATTTTTCTCATATTACAGTGTTTAGATAGATGTTAGAAGGATTTATATAACCCAGCATCAAAAGTGACTTACATAGCTTCTCCCGGCAAAGCACAGGGTCACTGGGTTCACTGGGTTCGCTTTCTCCAGCCTTGTTCACAGCTCTCACCCGGAATGAGTACTCCTGCCCTTCCATGAGCCCAGGAAGTACATGCTGGGTGGTCGGAACCCCTTCAGCTACTCTGACCCAGTCTTCCGTTCCAGTCTTTAACATTTCAATGACATAAGACTCAATCTTTGCCCCTCCGTCATGTTCTGGCTTTGTCCAAGTCAATGTTAATGATGTTTTGCCTATATCTTTTACAGTTGGTTTTCCAGGAGGCCAGGGAGGATCTACAAGCCAACAAAGTCATGATTTAGGTTTGCCAAAGATAAGCTAACGCAAGCTTGAAAATAACCACAGAAAATTATAAATAATACCTATGGGATCCTTTATTAGGATTGGTTCCGTTGATCTACTTGGCTTTCCAGGTCCGGCCAGATTTTCAGCCAACACACGGAATCTGTATTTTTTCTTATTGGTGAGACCTTTTACTCTGAAATAGGAAAAAAGAGCATGTGTAACGTCACAGTAAGTGAAAGTAACCATGTATTTACACAGGAGAGGCTAATTTATTTAAATGGTGACAAAAACTAATTTGGAAATTTAACTCAAAGTATTTTAATGTAAATTTAAAAATTGCCTTTTAACTGATACACAGTTTAAATTTGGCCAAGTGTACCAATCTAATTATATTATGATAATATCATTAATATATGGCTGGACAAAACACTTTGAAACTTCCAGAAAGTTAGTAGTTTGTAATAAATTAAGAAATGTGTCCTTGAATGGAATTTACATCATTTAAAAATTATGTGAAAATAGAAAATAAAAGCAAAAATGATTAAAATTTTAATAGTAATATATAATCTGTATGACCAAAAGGAATAGTACAGCAAATATTTAAGTAAATCTCTGCCGTTTTAACACTTGACAGAGATTCTGGATGTACCTGTATGTTGTGTCCTTTACTGGCATCTTATTGCATCTAACCCATTTATCAGTATCTGGATCTAATCTTTCAACCCAGTATCCAGTGATGGGGCTGCCTCCATCATCATCTGGCTCACACCATGTAAGAGTCACTGCATCTTTAGTGATGTCTGAAGGTTCTAGGCGAGTTGGAGGTCCAGGTGGATCTACAGAAAAGACAATGGTATACAAGTGTATCTGTCCTCTCCATAAATACGGTACCTAAATGCAAGTTTGACACAAGCATCTTTTATTTTTATTTATTTATTTATTTATTTATTTATTTATTTATTTATTTTTTTTTTTAAG